TTATTATTATTTTTATTATTATTTTTATTATTATTATTATTATTATAATTATTATCATCATATTGACCTAGTTTGTCCCCCCTGGTGGTTAGATCTGTAAACAATGTCTCATGATGAATAAAACCTGCAACAAGAGCAAACTTTTCTCTTTAATTTTAAATAGTTAAATTAATTCAACTTTTCATAAACTATTTGAAATATTACAATTAGAAAGTACATGACTCTGTCAAGCTCTAGATAATCTCAAAAATATTTGAATTAGATTGTAAATACTACATTTAAAATCAATAAGCACTTAAAACGAGATATTCTTTACAAACAGTTTAAAACTTTTGGGCATACTGTTACACTGTAGTCGGAACCATACTGTTACACTGTAGTCGGAACCATACTGTTATACTGTAGTCGGAACCATACTGTTACACTGTAGTCGGAACCATACTGTTTACACTGTAGTCGGTACCATACTGTTTACACTGTAGTCGGAACCATACTGTTTACACTGTAGTCGGAACCATACTGTTACACTGTAGTCGGAACCATACTGTTACACTGTAGTCGGAGCCATACTGTTTACACTGTAGTCGGAACCATACTGTTTACACTGTAGTCGGAACCATGCTGTTACACTGTAGTCGGAACCATACTGTTTACACTGTAGTCGGAACCATACTGTTACACTGTAGTCGGAACCCTATAGGCTGGATTACGTATGTGAAGTATTAAGCTCATTTCCATAAAATATTCAAGTCGTCACTGTGGACATCCTGTGATAACAATAGTTGTACATTAGCGATATTTTACAACAACAAAACTGTTGACCACCGAGTCATCTTTTCCAAAATCAAAAATTTTAATTTCAAAATTTTGTTAAGTCTTAAGCTTTTCCTGAATTACTGGGATCCAATTTTTCAAAAGAACTCAGCAGTCCATAATCTGAAATATTTTTAGGACTTAAAAATTTATTTTTAGGATTTACAAGTTTATTGTTAAACTATATGTTATATATTGATAAACTACTAGGTTTAAGTTCTATCTCTAATATCTCTATGAACTAGAAAACTACTAGGTTTAGGTTCTATCTCTAATACCTCCATGAACTTCATAAACTACCTGTAGGTTTAGGTTTTATCTCTAATATCTCCATGAACTTTATAAACTACCTGTAGGTTCAGGTTCTATCTCTAATATCTCTATGAACTGGATACACTACCTGTAGGTTTAGGTTCTATATCTTATATCTCCATGTACTGGTTGAACTACTAGGTTCAGGTTCTATCTCTAGTATCTCTATGAACTGGATAAACTACCTGTAGGTTTAGGTTCTATCTCTAGTATCTCTATGAACTGGATAAACTACCTGTAGGTTTAGGTTCTATCTCTAGTGTATCTATGAACTGGATATACTACCTGTAGGTTTAGGTTCTATCTCTAGTATATCTATGAACTGGATATACTACCTGTAGGTTTAGGTTCTGTCTCTAGTATCTCTATGAACTGGTTGAACTGCATCCTAGTCCTTGTCTGAGGCCAATGAAAGGATAAACGGCTACTCGTTGGGTTAAACCCTAAACAATCATAGATCAGATTTAAACTATTTTCTATAAAATAAAATTTTATAGATTTGATTTCGATTCATCATTATTCTTCTATAATTTTTAACAGATATATCTTGTTAAACTCCTTTGAGAAAAACTCCTGAAATATGAGTTGCAGAAAAGACAATCTCCTGAAATATGAGATACAGAAAAGACAATCTCCTGAAATATGAGATGTAGAAAAGAGAATCTTCTGAAATATGAGATGCAGAAAAGAGAATCTTCTGAAATATGAGGTGCAGAATAGGTAATCTTCTGAAATATGAGATGCAGAAAAGATAATCTTCTGAAATATGAAAAGCAGAAAAGACAATCTCCGGATATATAGGATGCAGAAAAGATAATCTACTGAAATATGAAAAGCAGAAAAGACAATCTCCGGATGTAAAGGATGCAGAAAAGATAATCTACTGAAATATGAAAAGCAGAAAAGACAATCTCCGGATGTATAGGATGCAGAAAAGATAATCTACTGAAATATGAAAAGCAGAAAAGAAAATCTCCGGATATATAGGATGCAGAAAAGATAATCTCCGGATATATTAGATGCAGAAAAGGAAAACTCCTTAAATATGGGATGCAGAAAAGGTACTGAAATTTGTTCACATGTTTATTGAGACCAATTTGAACAGTTTTCTAGCTCTAATATTTCTTACACTAAAGTGGTCTCTCAGGAATAGGAAGAGTTTGCTGATATGTTTATAATATACTAGGGTTTAATATGGCTGTACGCGGCCCCCTTCATGTAAAGTGTTCTGTTATTACCTGCAAACTGCAGAGCCATCTGTAGTTGACGTTTAGAAGTTAAATCTTCTACTGGAGACAAAACTACCATAGAATATGCTGCTCTCCCAATATCCTCCCTGAAAAACGTTTACAAAATTAGAAAATTAATTTTCCATATTCGTAAACGTACGCATTACACAAACACCAGCGTTACAATTATAATTGCAAGCCATATCTAAATCTACTTTTTTTTAAATAGTTAATAATGAAGCTTTTGTAGTTAGGTATGGATCTGTGTTATGGATATTGTTTTTTATTATGATATGATATTAACATTTTAATTATTATATTATTATCATTATAATATTATCATTGCGGCAAGAACGGGACAACATACATGCAACATACAATTGTTATTAAAGGATTAGAAACTAATGTAAATGTGCCAACATAGTTTAGGACAAAAATACAACGTTTTTATGACGATTTAAAAACTTGAACTTATTAAGCTGTTTAATAAAAATAAAAATAAAAATAGAATTTAAATTACCAAGTATAGTCCCCATTTTCAGGCATTTTTCTGAAAAAAAAAACATTTTTAGTTACTAACCTTTTTATTTACATTCCTTAATAATTTGGAACAAAGGTAAAATATTTCCCTTGAAGATTTAGTAAACATTTATACTTTTGCTGATCATCTTAAAACTATTATTATACAGTGAAAACCAGAAAACTGTAGAATAGGAAGACGACATTAAACCGATAATTAAGTGTATTTTATAGTTTTACTAGTAACTTATTTAATTCACATATTATGTGAAATGTGTTTGTTTACACTGCACAATTGCTGTGTTTCATACTCATTAAACTATTAAAAGTCATAACTTGAGCCTGAAAGTCGTCTTCCTATTCCACATTTTATCACTGTATGATCAAAAATTACATTTATGATCTGAAGCATAATATGTAAATAGGTTTATCTACATATTTGTTGGATCTCATTTTATTTAGATCAAAGAGATTCTGTTGCAGTTTCAAGTAACTCATTTTTCTAGCTTGAAAAGTGTATAATTCTGACAATTCCTACATACTTCTGTTGATAAACCTAAATTGAACTAAATAATTTTAATATAAAAAATCCCTCTCTTCTCCTTGGATTTACTCTTATTGTTAAATACTTTTCCCTTCTCTCGTAACAGTCCTAACTTTACTATTTGTATCTACTATACCAATACATTCATATTAGGGAGGTAGACAAGCTTTCTACAGATAGATAGATAGATAGATATGTAGATAGACGGATAGATAGATAGATAGATAGATAGATAGATAGATAGATAGATAGAAATGGTCCGGTCTATAGATACCACAATAATTGATCGATTTTTCTGGTTAAAATGAAATCGATCCAATACAAGTATGATAAACGAATTCAACGTATAAAGACGACTCCTCGCTGAGCCACTGTGCAACACTGGAAATTAGACAGAAGGAAAATGTCAAATTTATGAAAAAGTACTTGTACAACTTTGTGACCCCGACCTCCTCTTGTTTTGTTTTACCCACATTTTTTTTCCAACAGCTCTACAACAAGAAGAGCTGTTTCAATTTTTCATGCAATTTACTTTCGTTTGACCTCAGCTCTCATGTTTCCAGGATCCACTTTTACTCACCCTTGGGCCACCTGGTACCTCCTTCTTTACTGGACCACCCTGCCTCCTAACCCCCTCCTCTGCCTCTTGAACCGGATTAGCCGGAAATTGAACCCCTTGATAAATGGTATTGGATGGTAGAGAAGGTTAAACTAGAAACTTAATTAATTAAACACTTGCAGTAAGATCTAACTTGTTCACTGCTAACTGTTCAGTTAATTATCTGAACCTTTATTTTCATCGAACTTCGCCGGGAGGATTTATACGTACTAAAAGGAGTACAGCTGTTTCCTCAAGTTATCCTTGCCCCTTGAATCTAGCTAGCTATGTAAGGAAATCACAGGCAAAAATGTTTCTAAAAAAAATTTGAAACAAAAACTTTGGCAAAAAAGTCTCAGGCAAACTATCACTGGAAATAAAGTCCTGAGTTTTAGATTCCTGTGACTTTTTCCCCTAAAATGATATGGGGGGGGGGGGGGCGCCCAAAAAAACACCCAGGAAATAAGATCACAGGAATTAAAGTCCTGAAGAAAATATAAAGCAAAAAGCTTGTAGTATGTTGTACATTATAAATGATTCAATGTTTAAACTTAGATATAATGATATTATTCATGATTAGCTTAAATCATGCTACACTCTTAAATTACGCTATAAAACATGGGCAGAGATAGATTTACTACATTAGATCTAATATCTTTAAAATGAGGATACATCTGAGACTATTTCATAAAAAGGACTTTTATTCTGTGCATGGGTGTATGTATATAGCTGTATGGGTGTTTTTAATATCAACACCTTTTTTCCAATGTTGTAAGCCTCCTTCGTTCCATGCATTTTCCACTATAAGAGGATTTTTTTCTGGAAACGTTTTTGTACAAGATAAAATGAAAAAATAAAATACTGGAACCAGAAAAAAATCTCAAAATGGTAAAACTTTATTTCCAGAAACTTTTTATTTCAAGGAATTTTTTCTTAAGAACTTTTTTGTGCCAAAATTTAGGACTTTATTTCCGAAAACTTTTTTTCAAAGAACTTTAATGACGGTCACCTTTCCGCTTATAGGGACTGTAAAGGAAAAATGAAAGGGGTATAGGCTGAAACCTGAGCATTTTATTAGTTGATCGAGACCCATCAGAGTTCTTTCTGATGTTACTGTCTCTAGAAATTGATATAAAACTGTGTCGAATTTATACGAAAATCTATAAAATCTATATATATAATATATAGCGTGCGTGGCATCTCCGATTCAAGATTGCATGAGATATCTTTGATTTTCTGCATCGAAAATTGAGTATTTTTAATCGTGGCTTCAGTAGCTGTGAGTTGTGATGCTAAAGAGCTTGGTATTTTTAATTGAAATTGTTACATCACAAATCGTATGATGACGTCATTAACCTGTACTCTGATGTAAAGCTGAGAAGTGAGCAAACAGGGAAATTGTTTGAAATTTCTAGGTTTGTTTACTTTTGTAACGGTATTTATTATAGAAATAAGTGACTAGAAGCCACAGACTACACAGACTGCTTATCTCCTTTCACAGGGTGGGCTACGTAGCCTCGTAGGCCTAAGTTGACCCGGCTCGACATGCTACGTTTTTACGATAGGTTTTTAGAGTGCCATCTCACGGCCACTTGTTGAATGTAATACTCATTCAGGGGTTAAGTTTTACAACTATTAAAAAGAAATACTCCATGAAACTGAAACATAACATTTTTGAATTCAGTCTATTTAAGTTTCATAGCCAAAGGATCCTTAAATATCCCTGAATACAGATGTTTGCTGATTGGTTGTGTACAGTACTTGCACACAATAGAACATGCTGTGGAAAACATTGCATATCTTAGGTTTCAATCAAACTCTGTAACTCTCTTATAACTGCTAGAAGCCTAATTTATTTCTCTTGTCTGTAAATACTGGTTTTTAAAAGGGGAGGGCGGGGGGGATCAGGGGCTGAGAAAATTGAAATATACAGGGTTGAACAGGAACAAGTTGTAACATGAATAAACATTTTTCTTGGACAGATTTGAAAATCAAGGATTTCATAACTAAAAAACCATAAAAAATGTTTAAAGTGTTTATTTTAAAAGTTTTCTCTATCATATCACATACTAATGTTTTAACCATGTTTTAAAATTATTTCCGAATTTTAATATGAATAAAGTAATTTCATGCAATGCACTATTGTAACACAAAGACTTAGATATAGTGGTAACCTAAACATTTCCGGAATATTGAAGGTTAATAATTTTTTAATCTATGTCACCCCCTGGGTACCCAGTTTTCACAACAATGTCAGTAAAGGTCCTGAGTTTTTGCCACAAACCCAAATTTTCTGATCCCTATAACTCTGCAACAGGATGGTGTAAACTTTTGATATTTCAAACTCAGATTATTTGATTTAAAATTCGGTGATGGTGAAGGACCAAACCTCTGTAGAGTAAAAAAGTAGATGTTAGTTCCACATTTATTGAAAATATATTTCGGTCTGGGGTGACCCTCGTCAGTTCTTGAGATTGTTTCTTCACAAAGATTAAAAACAGATTATTTGAACTAACATAAGTCATAGTTTGAAATATCAAGGTCTACGTCATTGGGTTGAAAATATTGCAGGGATTAGAAAGACTCAACTCCTTTCGTCCGGTTGTTTGGCCAGCAATAGCTGACATACATAATGAGCAAAGAGCTTTATTACAAAGCTAGCTTCCTATTACGTCACGAAAATACTTCATCTTCGCCCCCCCCCCTCCTACTTTCTTTGTACCTTCTTCAAGGAATGTTTCCTGAACTGAAAACGAAAAGAAAATATTGAATTGAGTTTTATTAAATTCCTGTGTTACAGAACTTCTCTTGGAAATGAAATAAAAGAAAGTTTAAAATCAGAACTAAAAAATATATAAAATTATACAAAAAAGTCACTAAATTACCCTACAACGGGAAATATTAGGTGTGATATATTCCCTCAAAATTGAATAAAAGAGATATAAGAAAAAAGAAACTTTCTATTCAAACTATTTTTTTCATTCAAAATGTAATTCCGAGGAGGGAGAATTTGTAAACAGAAAATGCATTTTTAAAATTTCACTTCTTAATTTTTTTGCAGCTTTGCACTAATGTTTTTTTGCGGATTTTTGTCATTTCTCTTTAATTTTTTTAAAATTTTTTTAAATAGTTTTTTTACAAAAGAGCAGATTTTTTTAAAACGTTTAAAATCAGCATTTTGATAATTATATTTTACTATTAATTATCCTTAAACACGAACCTTCAAAAATAGTTGTGACTGCACAACAACGCTATAGTCGCGTTTTATTGACTCACCCTGTATATTGTAAACTTTTATAATTAAATACAAGTTAATAATTCAAGCAAAAAGAGATTTTGTCTTTCCATAAAAATTTCGTTAAATAAAAAGATAGATGTATGTCTTCTAGACTTTTCAATGTTCCTTAGTTCAATATTGGAAATTCGGAAACTGAACACACAAAAAATCCATTACACAGCACTGGAATTTTTTGCTATAATTGTAACAAACATGTTTGCATATAGAATATGTTCTAAAATCATACAAACTGCAGAGAAGAAGATTATCAAATGAATCTCTTTGAAAATTTTTAAAATTTTGAATTTAAAATATTATTTTTTAAGATTTATTAAGATTTATTTTATTTAAAAAAAAATTCCAAGAGTTCTTGACGGAACAGTTTATATCTGCTTTTATTTTGAAATATTTTGTCTGAATAAAATCCTCTCTAAAACTTAAAATACTACATTTTATCAATAAAAGGTACCTCATAGTTTAACCAAACCTGTGAACAATCCCTTGAAATAAAAAAAGGTCCGACTCCGGTAGCCCAAAAGTAAAGTTGAAAGTGTTCTGGGACTTCTATAGATTGGGTGTGGCATGAGTCCTCCTAAACTTGAACCTCAGTTTACTACCAACCCTGGAGCCGGCCACACACCACCTTGTTTACATTTTATAAAAC